ATGATGATGATGAGGAGGAGGAGGAGGAGGAGGAGGAGGAGGAGGAGGAGGAGGAGGAGGAGGAGGAGGAGGAGGAGGAGGAGGAGGATAACGACGACGATGATTGTATAATGAGCAATATCTGTATTTAGTAAGATCAATCTGCTCTACATCTAGATCATTATAATTACAAATATAATGAAAAACAATAAAATGTAAAATTGTAAAATGAAAATTAAAATCTTCTGATGACTTAAGGAAGACTATGGTGCATCAAATAGGGAAAGCAGTAACACCCTGCAGTATCTAAGCATATTTATCGTCTTTTGTAAAATCAATTTAAAGGAATGTTAAATGTTTAATTTTGAAAAAAAAAAAATGAAAAATTACCAATTTCCTTTGGCAAATTGTCTTTCAAAGCATGTTATGTTTTAAGACTATTTCTGAGTTGACAAATACTCACATACATGGACAGATCAATATATGCAAAGAACAGAACTTATTCTTGATTATAAGTATCGATAATTGATAAGTTCCACTTACTGATTCAGTAAAAGAGGGACGAAAGATACCAGAGGGACAGTCAAATTCATAGATCGAAAACAAACTGACAACGCCATGGCCAAAAAATAAAAGACAAACAGACACACAATAGTACAGATAACACAACATAAAAAAAAACTAAAGACTAAGCAACACGAAGCTGTATTTTCCTATGCTCCAGATAGCTACTTTTTAATGAACATATTTTGATTCAAGCAAAAATACTAGAGCACTGATGACTTACTCGTTATTGGATGTTTAAGAGATAACAAAATAAAAGATGGTATTTTAAAGTAGTATTAAGATAGTTGCTTTTATATTGGCTGATTGTATTTCGATTCAATTTAAAAATTGATTTACCCTTAATTACAAGTTGAAGTATCTTACTGTATCCAGTGCCAATAGAATTTTTTAGGACACAGATATACTTGCCATCATCACCTTGTTTTGTGTCATGTATAACTAACACAGATATTTCCACTGAACTACCATTATATTTCGTTTTGAAGGTGTTTCCATTTATTTTATGATATTGTCCTTCTTCTCTCAGAATTCCTAGTGAAGTTATGTTTCAAAAAAGCGCTTCGGACGTATCAGATTTATGCAGTGATTTTTTAGCTTACCTGACCCAAAGGGTCAAGTGAGCTTTTTTCATCACTTGGCGTCCGTCGTCGTTCGTTAACTTTTACAAAAATCTTCTCTTCTGAAACAATTGGACCAAATTTAACTGAACTTGGCCTAAATCATTCTTATGGTATCTAGTCAAAAAAATGTATCCGATGACCCCTCCCACAAGATGGCCGCTAAGGCTAAAAATAGAACGTCGGGGTAAAATGCAGTTTTTGGCTGTTATCTTTGATACTAAAGCATTTAGAGCAAATCTGAATAGATGAAAATGTTTATCAGGTCAAGATCTATCTGCCCTGAATCAGACGAATCGGACAACCCGTTGTTTGGTTGCTGTCCCTAAATTGGTAATCTTAAGGAAATTTTTCAGTTTTTGTTTCTTATCTTGAATATTATAATATAAAAAAAATTATCAATTTACCCCTTAAAGAGTTATTGACCTTTAAAGTCAAATTTTCACAATTTTTCGTTAATTTTTGTAATCTTTAACAAAAATCTTCCCCTCTGAAATTACTGGGCAAAGTTAAACCAAACTTGGTTGAAATCATCCTTAGGGTATCTAGTTTGATAAATATATCCGATGACCTTGCCCACCAACCAAGATGGCCGCCGTGACTAAAAATAGAACATGGGGGTAAAATGCAGTTTTTGGCTTATATCTTTGATACAAAAGCATTTAGAGCAAATCTGACATCGGTAAAAATGTTCATCAGGTCAAGATTTATTTGCCCTGAAATTTTGAGACGAATCAGACAACCCGTTGTTGGGATGCTGCCCCTGATTTGGTAATTTTAAGTAAATTTTGCAGGGTTTGGTTCTTATCTTGAATATTATAATAGAAAAAGATAAACTGTAAACAGCAAAAATGTTCAGCAAAGTAGGATCTACAAATAAGTCAAACATGACCAAAATGTCAGTTCACCCTTAAGGAGTTATAACCCTTTAAAGTCAATTATACACATTTTTTCGTAATTTTTTTAATCTTTTACAAAAATTTTATCCTCTTAATCTACTTGGCCAAATGGAATTGAACTTAGCCACAATTATTATAAGAGGATCTTGATTGAAAAATGTATTAGATGACCCTGCTCTATAACCAACATGGTCCCCATGGGTAAAAATGGAACATAGGGGTTTTATAATATCATAGAAGTCTATGGGAAAAATGAAAAACAACAATTTCAAATAGTCTCAACTTGAAAACTAATTTAAATAATGATAAGGGGTCTTCAGTAACTATTGTAAGACTACAATTGGATGACTTTTTTTTCCAAGGGGTGCAATTATTTCAGGGGTGCTAATTATTTCTCCTTGATATGTTCCATTTTCAGAAATATTCTGTGTTACTTTTTTTATAAACCATTATTATATCTTTTCTTTCAGTATACTTATATTGGGTGAATGCCCCTCAGACCCGGCGGGTAAGTCGGGGTCAGGGGAACCTCTGCCCCAATTTCTTTTGAAAGGTGTTCAATAAAAAACGGAGGAATGGAATTTTTTTCATTTTTTGTTAATTATCTTGAATATCATTATAGATTAAGATAAACTGTTATCAGCAAAAATTTCAAGCAAAGAAATATCTACAAATAAGTAGACATGACCAACATTGGCAATTGACATCTTGTTGGAGTTATTGTTCTTTAAAGTTATTTTCTGCAATTCATTGGTAATTTTTGTAATTTTTTTCAAATTTCTTCTGCTTTTAACCTAACTACTGGGCCTCTAGTTTCATTTATAAATACTGAAAATTTTGATGTTAAGAATCCCTCACCTTAAACTATTTTGAAAATGTGTCATCCTATTCCCTAAACTTATCTTATACCATCGTTACTGGTGTATCAGATGCTATTAAATCATATTATTTCAGATTTTTCCCCAATTTGAATATACCTTATAGAGATTATATATATATATATATATATATATATATATTCAAGGCTTTAAACATTAAAAGTACCAAATACACCAACAATTTTCTACCTACAGACACAGACTGTTCTGAATCTACCGACACGGGTGAGTCCAAAGTAGACGAAACCTGCGTCCATAAAATGATATGCCATCTGTCTCGTCTCTCTGAAGAGTCTCATTTAACCCATTTTCAACCCTGTTTATTACCAAATGAATGAAAAAAGGTTTGACGTTTTAGCAATTAGACCAAAATGAAAGTTTTACTATTTAAATTGACGAAACGAGCTTTAAAACCAGCTATATCTAGATACCATACCTCTTATGAGAAGATGGAGTGGTTTGCTGTATCCAGTGCCTATGGAATTGGACACTGAACAAACGTAAGTCCCGGAATCACTCTCGGTAGTACCAAAAATAATTAATTCAGGAACTCCAATGGTACTGCCATTATATTTTGTCGAACTAAGTACGGGAATCTTTACACCATTCCTTGTCCAATTAACATATTTTGGTGTTGGATTGGAATCTTGAGAACAAGGAAGTACTATATCAAGTCCTCCATTCACCTCGACCTTTTCCCGAGTCGTAGACACAAATGGAATATCTGAAATATAGACCAGTCAAGCAAAGTCTGTAGACTTTGACAATCTTTAAGCAATATTGACATTAGCAGCAACACATGTTATTGTCAAGCTTTAATATGGATGTCATGAAAATAGAGTTTGTATTCTAAAAAAATTGAAAAAATACACAGTGGGTGTTTTTTGTATAAGCAGTTAAAAAAATACAATTATGATCAGTTATAGTAATTTAATTTCTTTGTGACTCCCTCAATTTATTTCGCGGATATATGATAACCCTGATATAGATGGATATAACAATGGTACAGGAAATATTTTTGAAGGATAAAGTACTAACGACATAAGTTTGATTATAATTTTACACGGATTCATATAACGGTTATACCACCGGAGTGGGCGTTTCTTTCGCAATTGAATTGTTTCATATTTGTCATGTTCGGGCCTTTTATAACCGACTTTACCGTATGGGTTCTTCTCATTGTTGACGGTCCTATGGTTGCCTATAATTGCTCTCATCCACTTCATTTGAACTTAGATGGATAGTTAATATCTCCATATTTTATACATTGTTCTGTATTTATTTCCGTTTGTTAAAATGCAAGATATTTTTTCTATTCCGTTATATTTGGATTTTCCCTTTTGCATTTCTATCTTTAGAAACTCTGGAACTAGTTTGTAGAAGTTCCAGCGAGCAAACCAAGCCTACATCTAGACTTGCTCCTTATATAGCCATGTAGAAATTTTGAAATTCAGACGAAATTATGTAGGAAAATTTTAAGGGGTTGAATTTTGTGTGACCGATAACAAAGAATAAAGAAATACATACATTCAAAATTAATATTCACAATTTATATGAATCTGACCATCATTAATAGTCTTGATACTGCATTTATACAAGGTGCATCATGAAAGCTTCATGGAATATAAGTTTTGTAATCCACGATTAGTATTGGATCAGAAACAGCTGACACTTTTGGGTATGGGTTCGTGTGTTTTAATGATAGAAAATAATTCCGTTTTAAATTACTATTTGGTTTTATTCTGTTTCTGTGTATGGTGTTGTAGACATTGGCCATGTCTTGTTTTCTTTGTGCACACGTCATGCACGTGTTACCGTTCATTCTTCGACTGAAAGTTTTTGCATGTCATGTGGGATTCTTTTCTGTGTTACACATTGTGGACCTCATTTCGTTTCTGCATACTTAACTATGTTCCGTTTACTATTTGTTTTGTTAAGTTAATTGGTGATCCTAGTTGTGGATGCACTGTGTAGTTTTATTTTAAAAGAATTTATGAATAAAAAATATAAAATAACATTTAAGAAAACTATAAAGTTAAATTGTTGTGAGTTACCTTCGACATCAAGTTGTAATATGCTGCTCTTTGCAGTTATACTTTTTAAACTTGTTTCACAAGTAAAATTTCCTCTGTCTAATCGATTAAGATTCTTTAACTGCAGTGATTGATTGTTTAAGGCACCAATTCCTTCTAAATTAAGTGGTTTGCCATTTTTTCGTCAAATAATCCGCTCTCCACCATACACTTTACAATGCAAAGTGATCGATTCATTTGCCTTTTTTATTGGATAATGGTTGTCTGTGATTGAAGCAACTGTTTAAAATAAAGAAAAGTATATCTACATGTATAAATAGAGAACATCAAATGTGTTTTTTTTGTTTAAATATCACAACTATATCAATCCAATATTATCCCAAGCGCTCAGCTCGTTTGAGGGTTGATTCAGAGTGCCATATTGATGAAAGCCATATATTTTACTAGTTATATGTTATATGTCAATTAAAATTCGGTAAAGAATTCAACACATTTTAATGTTTTATTAGTGGTTTTAAAAATAAATTTTACATCTGTAAACTGATAGTCGTTTCAGGATTTGATACTGGTAAAATAGAGGCATAACCTTTACTCACTGTTGTCAAAAAAAAACATCCCCTTTTTGCTATTTATTGTTCATTCATGTAAGAAGGGAAAGTCAGTTCGGAAACAAATGTGTATTACGCACATACCCTTTCAATGCATGGAAATATTTTTAATTTTAGTTTCTTGTGTACAATTTGGAGTTTAGTATGGCGTTCATTATCACTGAACTAGTATATATATTTGTTTAGGGGCCAGCTGAAGGACGCCTCCGGGTGCGGGAATTTCTCGCTGCATTGAAGACCTGTTGGTGACCTTCTGCTGTTGTCTGTTCTATGGTCGGGTTGTTGTCTCTTTGACACATTCCCCATTTCCATTCTCAATTTTATGGATAGAACATTGTAAACAAATAATTTTGGAACACACGGACATACTAAAGGGGGATATTCGTGAAATGCTAGTTTAATTAACTTTCTTATATAAAGAAAAATACTTACACAGAACTTTCAATATAGTTAAATCGTGATTTTCGCCATATCTATTTCTTACAAGGAGTGTATAATTTCCTGCATCATTGAGTTGGACCTTTCTGATTAAAAGGAATGGGTTACTTATGTTTCCAATTGTTTTACGATCTGAATTATTCTGAGATACTGATGACCTTTTCCATTCCATTACAGAATTCGATGGAGCATTCATGATTTTACCACCAATGGTCACGTTGTCACCTAATCTACAGATGAAGTAATTCTCGTTAATATTAACTTGTGGAGGACCTGTGAAAATAATGTATAACGATTGAACGATTACATTTTGTCTTTAACATGTTTATCTTAGTATCAAAAACAGACTGAACAAGGATTAATCAGGAATATGTGTCACATATACTGCATATGGATTGTTTGTTCGTTGAATACACATATCTTGTTGGAATGGGTTTTATTTAAAATTAACACAATCTGCTATTCTAAATCTTTTTACATTTTTTTATTTTAAAAATGTAGAATGATGTTATTGACAACAACACTTTCAAGGGAATAGAATTATAGAATGGAATTTATAAGGATGCATCTTTAATATAAACGAATTGTTATTTTACTTCTTGATTGTCTTCTTGAGAGAGTCTTCATGTATAAATCAATGCCATTGACCACATTGTTATTATGATATATTGGATGTTTAAAATACGTCTAAAAATGCTTGGAATATTTCATTGCAGTTTTGTAAAAAATGATCCTTTTAGTTTTATACCCAACATATGCGGATGTTATATTTTCTGATATGTGCGTCCGTCCGTTCTATTTAAGCTATAAAACTGTCAAAAAATAATATACTGAATTAAGGTTTTGACACGGATATAATCATGATAATGATTCATTGAACATGAAAATCTGATACTATGAAAAGGGGAAGGCACGATGTCTCATGGACATATTCTCTTGTTTCATATGTTTTAAACATACATGTATTTGTATCTTCAATGTTCATTATTTACACATCAACAACTCATTATGTATATTTTGCTTTTAAATTATGCATACTATACTTTCAAACTGTATGTAATGAACACTTATGGACCTACTAGTCGATACTTGTATTTTGGTGTTGCATTAGGTCGTTCTCGTCAGCACTGCATTGGTGAAAAAACGTCAACGAAAAGGCACACATTAGCGTGCCTTTATGACTGCATTATGCATCAGGATCGTATTATCTCATGTTTCTATGGTTCTTATTTATGGCAAATACACTTCAATAATTATGCAGTGTTAACGAATTGGTGACTTTTTCTAAATTGTAGATTATTTAAATGGATATAAAAATATTAATTAATTATTTAAAATTTTATCTGAACATGTATTTTGTATTTTGATTCATATAGAATTTTAAACAGTCCTACCCGATAAACAAACTACATATTACAATCCCTATTGAGCACAACCTCTAAAATAAACATTTTTAGGGAATTTGTTTATGTATAAATTTTATCATAAATGCAAAATACTTTTTATTTGGTTGGCTTCCATTTTAAAGAGAAACGTATTCGTTCTCACAGTAATATTGTCTACAAACAGTAGTCTTACTCGGATGATATGAATGTCGAAAGGTCGTACTCCTTGACAGAGTTCCCTGCCTCTTTGTGTGTGTGTATTAAGAAATTTATCACTGAATTAATAACTTGTCGTTTATTATACAGCGTCGTCAATTGGTGATATGTTGAGGCCGTTGGGTGTTTTTGTTTGTTTTGTTAACTCTGGCAGTTTTTTTATCGTGTATCTGTTTGATATGTTTATGCGAATTATATTTTATTTTTCATTATCGTTTCTTTTTCTTTGTGAAATGTTGTTTTGTTTACAAAACAATTGTTTAGTTTCAAATATTTTTATAAAGAAAGGATCAGCCACTGTAGCGGCGACCTATAACTTTTTAACTAAAAGAAGTACAGGGTCTGCATCTGTCTTTTTTAATCTTTTAATCTTTAGGGGTTTTATGTAATTGTTTAACCGAATCCATTCTTTTTTTCTACATGAATCATTTACAATTCTTTAAATGTACAAACACATTTATTCGTATACAAATTTCCACTAAAAACGTATAAACCTCACAAATTAAACTAGTAATGATAAAGAAATATAAGGGAAGTGGTATTTACTAAACTTGATTTTTCTTTTTTCCCTTATAAATAGCAGTAGAGTTTGAAATTATGTATTTTGTTTTTAATTTTCAAATTCTATCAAGAGACAAATTCTGACAAACACTTTTATTTCGATATATCTAACCTTTTCAGAAAATACCCCACTACCTACATTTGTATCTCCCGCCCACACACCCATTTTACTGGAAATCTCTAGTGGAACATATACATATTTGTCGGCTTAACTGAAAAATGTCAAACTAAAATTGTCAGTTAAAGTTGATTGGCCGTATACTTTAGGTTCAAAATATTTCTCCTAGCAATAACGTTTCCAAAAGAAAGTTCATGTGAACATTTATGTTTTGTCACCTGAAACTTTCCAAGATGTGAAGTTTCCGAAAGGAGTTTCGAGTGAAATGCCGCGTTAATTTTAGGAAAATGAATATTCCGAAAAGATTCCACGCTTCGATAAAGGAGTTTAAAGGCATTTTGAAATTTCATTTAGGAGCTGTATTACCATGGATATTAAACTGTTCTTGAAAACTGATTTTGATATTACCCATTCCACTAGAATTAAAACAAAATGTTGGGATTTTTTTGCCAAAAAATGCGGTCATCACTGCTATGTGTATTTTCTCTAAATACGGAATTTAGTTAAGCCATTTTCAACGGATTTTTATAGTTTATTCTCATGTTGTTCTATTACACCACTATTCTAGGTTAGGGGAGGGTTGGCTCCTTTAAACATCTTTAACCCGCCACATTATTTTTTTTTTTCAAAGTCATAATCTGGAGTCTGTAGTTTAATGCTTGGTGTTGGTTCATGTCTGTTATATTTGTTTTTCGTAATTTTTTTTTGGTTATAAATTAGGCTGTTTGTCTTCTCAATTAAATTGTTTCATAATTTTCATGTCGGAGCCTTTTATGACCGACTATACGGTATTGGTTTTTCTCATTGTTGGAGGCCATATGGTTGCCTATAATTGCTAACATCTACTTTTTGTGAACTTTGGTGGATAGTTGTTTCATTGGCAACCATACCAATTCCCCTTATTTCATATTTAACTATACAAACAAAAATGCAAACAAATGTGACAAAGCCGCCTACAAAACAAATGTTTGTACTTGACGGACATACTTCCAGTTTCCACTGTTGTCTTTGCAAACATTTCGCCCCTTTCGTTTCTTGCATAACATCGGTACTCTCCTTCATCAGTCTTACTGACTTTGAGTAAATTAAAACTTGTTCGATAATTTTGTCTGAAATTTCTCTCGGCTCTACTTTTGTCTGTATGAATACGGAACTCGTTTGGATATAGTTTTGTCCACCATACCTCTGTTACAGGTGGGCGTGTTGCACCAATAATACATTCCATGTAGACACTGCCTCCAATTCCAACATCGTAACGAGGTTTTACAAACCTAATATCAGGTTTCCCTGTAACAAACATGAATACTAGGAAATGTGTTTGTTATGTAATAGACCCCTTGACCGCATTCATTACATCTACACAAAAATAAAAATGCAAGTAGATTTTGTAATAACCATACATGAGGAAAGATCCTCAGAGAAATGAAAAATTATTAGTTGTAAGTTAAATATAATTTAATACACGTCAGAGATTAGGTGAAGAAGAAAAAATAAAGATTTAAACAGATTTTCAAAATACTTTGTCTTTAAGTGGGGAGACCATTGTAAGAGTATGTTATGTGCACTGAAATCAACCTTATACATTCATATTTGGAATGAACTATATAGAATTGGCATTTAATATTTAAAATTGTCATTTGATACGTAGAATTGACATGGAATATGTAGATTTCACACGATAGTAGGTTTGCTTTCAAATTTCAGGCAATTTCAGTATGAACTATCATTCAATAAAAAATACATTGGGCCACTATTGTATGACGTATTGTACACTCTCACATGCACAATGAAAATCATTGTCGTCATTTCAAATTTAAGTTAACAAGGGTTTTGTTTAAGATTAGAATGAAATAAATGGAATTATTCCACCAAAAAAAGTTGGAAAATATATAATGTCATGAATAAAAAACGAAAAACGACGAAACGACAAATATCCACAAAAACACTACATAGAAAATTGAAGACTGAGGAACTCGAACCCCTACAAAACCCGAGGGTGATCTCCAGTGATGTCATAATCGTTACAAAAAGGATGGGATAGCGGTTACAACAATTAAAATATATCCGTTGATTTAGGTGGTAACGATAATAGCATGTTTAAAAAAAAAACCAAAAGGGTTATTGTAATATAAATATAAAAGTTTTATAAAAAATATTGTAATAAATAAAACAGAAGATCGCATATTTTGATTTAGCAAAATAACGTCAAATCACATGGTTACTTATTAGGTCTTTCCACTTTTCTGTGGAAAGACCTATTGTATTTGTTCTGATTATTATTATTATTATTATTTTTTTTTTTTTTTCTTCCGCCAAATTTTGTTCTTGCGATAAATGTTTGTTTCGCAATATGTCGCTTAGATATTTCTCATATTGTATCGTATAGTTTATGCGCTTTTAAATTTCACCCTGCTAAGCCGAACCATTTTCCTTGTAAGAGTTATCTCCCTATTCACTGTTTATCATCTGTGTGCATCTCCTTCGTAACAAAAAAAGATATCGACAAAATTCTTTTTACAAATTGTTCGTTATATCCTCAGGAATTTTTGGCTAATTTGGATCGAAGCGATTCGATGAAATTTTATAGGAGTTAACACCTTTATCAAATAAATTTGTCGTTATGTTTTTGTTACTCATAAACTGTAAGCCGCAAAAACCTATAGTCTTTTAATTTAAGGTCCTTGGATCCTAACTTCGAAAATGAGGTCAAGGTCAAAGGTCAAGGTCATGTTCTGAATTTTGTCTTTTGCTTGTTTTTGCATTTTCTCCGATATTTTTAATGTTATATATCAAAGAACAAGTGCAAAATGTTTGTTATATTGTAATGAAGATATGATACATTTGGTCTTAGACAATCCAGCGACATCTTATTGGAGTTATTGCCCCTGAAATGTTTTATTTTAAGGTAAATTGATTATTACTTCATATTGGTACATGATAAAGCTATAAGATCTTATGCAAATTGTTGGGTGACATATGACCTTGAAAAATGTCAACCGGAAGTGATCTTGAGTGAACCGGAAGTAGTCATTTTTGCACTTATTTCATGTAGAAGTACATAGAAACCATATATTTTTTGAATGGTCATACATTAATCTATCATTTGAGACCAGAAGTGATATTTTATAAACCGGAAGTAGCATATTATCTTCCTTTTTACAGGCAAAAGTATATATAAACCATATATTTTTGGAATCAGTGTAAATAAAGCTATCATATGAGACCGAAAGTGACATTTTCTAAACCGGAAGTAGCCAATTATCTCCCTTTTTACAGGGAAAAGTATATATAAACCATATATTTTTGGAATCAGTGTAAATAAATCTCTCATATGAGACCGGAAGTGACATTTTCTAAACCGGAAGTAGCCAATTATCTCCCTTTTTACAGGCAAAAGTATATATAAACCATATATTTTTGGAATCAGTGTAAATAAAGCTATCACATGAGACCGAAAGTGACCTTTTCTAAACCGGATGTTGACAATTATCTCCCTTATTTCAGGCAAAAGTCTATAGAAACCATGTTTATTGAATCAGTATGAAGAAACCTATGATTGGACGCCAATAGTAGCTTTGAGTAAACCAGAATTATCTTCTCATCAATTATTTAGAAAGTCCGCTTGATTGAGAAATAAAATTCAATGACGTAGAAAAATCCTAAATATTGCTGAAATCCTACAATCAAATTTTTTAATCATGCATTAAAATACAAATCTGTGCTCCCGTAAACATGTGTGCGTAAGATGCATGAATGATCCGTTATCAATGACCTGTAAATAATAAAACCAATAGTGATCATGTTTGTCCGATCAGTACACATGTGCTCTGTTCAACGGTCTCCCCTATCACATGAGACCGAAAATGACATTTTCTAAACCGGATGTTGACAATTATCTCCCTTATTTCAGGCAAAAGTCTATAGAAACCATGTTTATTGAATCAGTATGAAGAATCCTATGATTGGACGCCAATAGTAGCTTTGAGTAAACCAGAATTATCTTCTCATCAATTATTTAGAAAATTGATGTGGAAAGACCTTCAATTGTTCTTTGAACAATTGGTTTTTAATTCTGTATACTTTACTTGGCGTTCAAATTAAACAGATATAATATTTATGCATTTGCCATTAAACTTTTTATAATTAGTATCAATGAAAAGTGATTAAGTATTTACAGTATTTGTTATTTATTCTACAAATCAGACAATGAAGCAAACTGAATGTAATTAACGACAACCACAAACTAAGTTCCAGACTTGCAACAGGTATATTTTACAAGACAAATCAGTTGAAAGTATATTTAACTCAATACACAACCACAGTTTTTTTTCCAGATAGCCAAAGATTTGAAGAATATAGAAAAAATACAATTTCTACATTAGTTATGTGTTATATTTCAGGACGAGTTTCGTTGTAAACGTCAATGAGACAGCTGCCAAACGCCAAAAATACATCTAGAGGGCAACATAAAGCCTGCAAGAATATATCAAGCTCTAAATCGTCCAAGGTCTATTAAAGTTGGTAAAATGTGTTAACAGAAACAATGAGACAACTGCCATCAACACCTAATTCTTCAAATAACGAACAGCAAACCAATTAAGATATGACACACCGCAACTACTACGAAGATTCTGAGATGAGACAGGCACATGAAAATGTGACGGAGTTAAATTAGTGTTTTGAAATCTCAACCCTCACGCTTCTTTTTAACAATACCTACATAATATCTGTAGAATATACTTAAAAGCAACTACATGAAAAGCTCGGAACTCTTAAATAACAGTAAAGTTAACCAAAAAACAAATGAAAAACAAAAATGAAAAAATTATATCGTTTTTGAGAATTGTCATAGTTACAGAAAGTAATCCCAAAGTATTTAACCTGCTGATAAGAAATCATGCACGTATAAACTTATGACCAGATAATGTATTTCACAAAAGATTACATCCAGCAACAGTACAGAAGCCCCAAAGAAGGTTTGTTATGATCTTTATCATCAATTCTTCTTAAAAGTAGAATAAAATGAAATAGAAGAATTCTTAGACTTGTTTATTTAAACGACCATCGATCTTACATATTTTTACTTTTTCTGATAGTTTTTAATCGACGATATTCACGGACGTATGGACAATGGGACTCAATGTTAATACGGTACATGGATTACACAGAGAAGTGTCAAAATAAACAGCTGAAAATGTAGAATCCTATTTAAAGATTATCTTGATTCATATATATATGTTCCTAGACATAAAAAGCCTTCATTTAAAAACAAATTATTCTTTTTCCTAAGTCTTCTACCCGGGACTGGGACTGGAAAAAATCAAATAAAAAACAACGTTACATTTATTTTAAATATTCATATATGAGTTTTGACTGGTCAATCTGCTTCATAGAATAACTTCTCAGTTTAAAGAAAATGAAATATTGTCTGGAATATAGGTGATATAAAATCTTTATTATTTGAAAATAAGTCAGACTCTCTTATAATCGGTTATTTCATAAACAAGAATGTAAAATACAATTTGGTATAGATAAATAATGCAATAGAAAATAAATTGTATAGTAGCTATAGATGTACCTTGTACGACTACAATTGTATTACTACCATACCCCCACCTAATCCATAGTGGCCAATTGTATTTGCAGCGGTAGATTCCAGCATTAGTAAACTGAATGTTCTGTAGCGTTAAAGTCTGATTTGTCAGTACTTCTTTGTAATTCCTCCGATTAACTTTTTCCCACTTGATATTTGGTGCATTTTTTCCGATCGTACACTGAAGTGTTAAGCTTGTACCTTTTTCAATTACTTCTAAAAAAAGGAATTTATTATTGTATTAAGCTTATTTTATACACTACTTTAACGAAAACTGGTAAAGACTAATAACGATAAGAACTTTAGAAAGAAACTCGAGGCCAGCTTGGTTTTTGAACGTCTGAAAGTGACCAAACCTAACGAAAAAAGTACAACCGATTGTTTTAATGCTATTTGCTTCTTTCATAAAAATTCATTCTTAACTTAACACACAAAAACACCAATAACGAAGCTCCGTTTTGTTGTCATAGAAATACACGCAAATGAAAGAATCCTTTTTTCAGATCCATCTCATGAAACGTTTGCCTATATCCGGGTTTTATTATTTGTTTGGCTTTCTGTTTGTGTTGAACTTAACAAAAAGTTATGATAGAATTAATCGTATCCCATTTTGTCTAACTGTGCTATGAATATGAATGTATTTGTGTTT